ATAAATCTAACAAATACATATCAGACTTGTATGCTGAACACAACTTATACCCTGAATACTACAAAATGCTTACAAAATAAATTCAGGAAAATCTAAGCAAATGAAGAGATGTAATATATTAATGCATTAAAAGACTCAAGATAATAAAGACGTCAATGCTCTCCAAAATTTCAAAACAATATATAAATGTAACATTTTTCCTATCAAATTTACAGCAGAGTTGTTGTTTTTTTTTTTTTTTGAGACATGGTCACCCTCTGTAGCCCAGGCTAGGGTACAGTGTAGTGGCATTATCATAGCTCACTATAACCTCAAACTTCTGAGCTCAAGTAATCCTCACACCTCAATGTCCCAAGTAGCTAGGATTACAAGCATGTGCCACCACATCCAGCTAAATTAAAAATTTTTTTTCATACAGACAGGGTTAGCTACATTGCCCAGACTGGTCTTGAACTGCTGACTTTGATTTTCCCGCCTCTACCTCCCAAAGCACTCAGATTACAGGCATAAGCCTATGTGACCAACCACAGCAAGATATTTTATAAACAACCTTATTCTAAAATGTATATGCAAAGGCAGGGGAAGGCCAGGCATGGTGGCTCACACCTGTAATCCCAGAACTTTGGTAGGCCGACGAGGGTGAATCACTTGAGGTCAGGAGTTCAGGACATGCCTGGCCAACATGGTGAAATCCTGTCTCAATCAGAAATACAAAAATTAGCCAGGCACAGTGGCATGCACCTATAATCCAAGTTACTCAGGAGTCTGAGGCAGGAGAATCACTTGAACCCAGGAGGCAGGGGTTGCACTGAGCTGAGATCGTACCACTGCAACTCCTGCCTGGGTGATGGAGTGAGACCCTGCCTCAAAAAAAAAAAAAGAGCATGAGAGCAAAAGAAAAGGCAAGAGAAGGCTCAGTGTGGCACAGTGGCTCACGCCTGTAATCTCAGCACTCATAATAAAGGCAGGCGGACGGCTCAAATTCAGGAGTTAGACACTAGCCTGGGCAACATGGCAAAACCCTGTCTCTACAAAAATTGGCTGGGTGCGATGGCTCATGCCTGTAATCCCAGCACTTCAGGAGGCCGAGGCGGGTGGATCACCTGAGGTCAGGAGTTCGAGACCAACCTGACCAACAAAGTAAAACCCCATCTCTACTAAAAATACAAAAAATTAGCCGGGCACGGTGGCAGGCGCCTATAGTCCCAGCTAGTTGGGAGGCTGAGACAGGAGAATTGCTTGAACCCTGGAGGCGGAAGTTGAACGCGGGAGGCGGAGGTTGCGGTGAGCCGAGATCCTGCCACTGCACTCCAGCCTGGGCGAAGAAGCAAGACTCCGTCTCAAAAAACAAACAAAAAAAAAGGCAAACTGGTCTGGTGTGCTGGCTCATGCCTATAATCCCAGCACTTTGGGGGCCAAGCCAGGTGGATCACTTGAGGTTAGGAGTTTGAGAGCAGCCTGGCTCATGCCTGTAATACCTGCACTTCGAGAGGCTGAGGTGGAAGGATTGCTTAAGCCCAGGAGTTCAAGATCAGCCTGGGCAATACAGGGAGACCCTGTCTCCACCAAAAAAAAAAAAAATGTAGCCCGGTGTGGTGGCATATATCTGTGATCCCAGCTACTTGGGAGGCTAAGGTGGGAGGATCTCTGGAGCCAAGGAGATCGAGGCTACAGTGAGCTATGATCACACTACTGCACTCCAGCCTAGGCAACAGAGCGACTGTCTCAAAAAAAAAAAAAAAAAAAGTCCAAGGTCATGCAAAACTACTCAATATGTCTTTTTCTTGGGATACAAACAATTTTAGTCAAATTATAAAGAAAGGCAACTTAAGTGACAAGCATAAAGTTGAAGACAGTGGTTACCCTAGGGCAAAGGAGGGAGCCATGAAGAAAAACTACACAAAGGACCATAAATATGAGGGTAGTCTTCTGTTTCTTTTTTTTTTTTGAGACAGAGTCTCACTCTGTTGCCCAGGCTGGAGTGCAGTGGCGCAATCTCAGCTCACTGCTGCCTCTGCCTCCCGGATTTAAGAGATTCTCCCACATCAGCCTCCCAAGTAGCTGGGACTACAGGCAGGCATTACCATGCTGGGCTAATTTTTGTATTTTTTGGTACAGACAGGGTTTCACAACGTTGACCAGGCTGGTCTCAAACTGCTGATTTCAGGTGATCCTACCACCTCAGACTCCCAAAGTGCTGGAATTACAGGCGTGAGCCACTGTGCCTGTCCTTAAACTCTTTTGATTAGAAATATAGGCAGGACGTAGTGGCTCACACCTGTAATCCCAGCACTTTGGGAGGCCGAGGTGGGCGGATTACCTGAGGCCAGGAGTTCGAGATCAGTCTGGCCAACATGCCAAAAAGCCCGCCTCTACTAAAAATGTAAAAAATTAGCCAGGCATGGTGGCGGGCGCCTGTAATCCCAGCTACTCTGGAGGCTGAAGCGGGAGAACTGCTTGAGCCAGGCAGGCAAAGGCTGCAGTGAGCTGAGATGTCTCCACTGCACTCCAGCCTGGGTAACAAATAACAAAACTTGCCAATTAACCTTTTAAAAGTGTACAGTTCAATCTTAAGTAGATTTACATTGTTGTGAAACAGATCTCCAGAACATTTTCATCTTGCAAATCTGAAACTCTCTACCCATTAAACAACTTCCCATTCCTCCTTACCCCAGCCTCTAGCAACCACCATTCTACTTTTCTGTTTACGTGAATTTTACTTTAGATTCTCATATAAGTGGAATCACGCAATATTTGTCCATTACTGGTTTACTTCACTTAACATAATATTGTCAACATTCATCCATGTTGCAGCATATGACAACATTTTCTTTTTTATTTTTATTTTCATTTATTTATTTATTTATTTATTTTTGAGACGGAGTCTCACTCTGTCACCCAAGCTAGTGCAGTGGTGCAATCTTGGCTCACTGCAACCTCCGCCTCTTAGGTTCAAGCAATTCTCCCTGTCTCAGTTTCCTAAGTAGCTGGGATTACAGGCGCCCGGCACCACGCCCAGCTAATTTTTGTATTTTTAGTAGAGACAGGGTTTCACCATGTTGGCCAGGCTGAACTCCTGACCTTAGGTGATCTGCCCTCCTCAGCCTCCCAAAGTGCTGGGATTCCAGGCATTAGCCACCACACCCGGCAATCTTATTTTTATTTTTTGAACAAATGGAGTCTCGCTCTGTCACTCGGGCTGGAGTACAGCAGTGCAATCATGGCTCACTGAAGCCTAAACATCCTAAGCGCATGTAATCCTTCAACTTCAGCTTCCAGAGTAGCTAGGACTACAGGCACATGCCACAATGCCTAGCTAATTTTTGTATTCTTTATTTTATTTTTTGTGGAAACAGGATCTCGCTATGTTGCCCAGGTTGGTCTGGAACTCCTGGACTCAAGCAATCCTCCCACTTGGCCTCCCAAAGAGCTGGGATTACCAGCATGAGCTGCTGCATCCAGCCAAGATTTTCTTCCTAAGGCTGAATGATATTCTATTGTATATGACACATTTTGTTTCTCCATCTACCAATGGACACTGGGGTTACCTCTACTTTTTGACTATTGCAAATAATGCTGCTATGAACATGAATGCACAAGTAACTGAGTCCCCGCTTTCATTTCTCTTGGATACAGACCCAGAAGTGGTACTGCTGGATCATATAGCAATTCTCTATGTAATTTTTTGAGGAACTGCCATACTGTTTTCCACAGCTGCTGTACCATTTTACATTCTTACCAACAATACACAAGGGTATATTTCTTAATATACGGGGGCTGGGTGCAGTGGCTCACGCCTGTAATCCCAGGACTTTGTGGGGCTTAGGCGGGTGGATCACCTGAGGTCAATAGTTCGAGACCAGCTTGGCCAACAGGGCAAAACCTTGTCTCTACTAAAAATACAAAAATTAGCCGGGTGTGGTGGCATGTGCCTGTAATCCTAGTTACTTGGGAGGCTGAGGTAGGAGAATTGCTTCAATCCAGGAGGTAAGAGATGAAGAAAAAATCGGCAAGGCTCATGAAACCTCATCCTCAAAGAAAAAAAAAATAATATAATTATATATTATACGTATACGCAGGGGTACTATGGAAGCTAAGACAAAGGCCTGCACTCACCCCTAATCTGCTAAATTCAAGTTCTTTCCATGATGAGGTTTCAAAAGGAATTAGTGCAAAATGTATTTAAGGATATGACTAGAAAGGAGAAAGAAAAAACAAATGGCTATTACACACACACACACCAGAAAAGTAAGACTAGGAGGCAAAGGAAATCAATGAAGAAATATTTCGGCGAGAGGCCGTGGTTCAGCCTGTAATCCCCACACTTTGGGAAGCTAAAGCAGAAGAATCACTTGAGCCCAGGAGTTCAAGACCAGCCTGGGCAACATTAATGACACCCATGTTTCTATTTATAAATAAATAAATAAATATTTCCGACCAAAGAATACAAACTTAGTAAAGCTAATGAAGGAAGAACACAGGGAAGAGCTGCTGATGTAAGAGAAAGAAATAAAACTTCTGGAGAAAAAGTTCAAAGATTTGAAACTATTTCCTCAGAAGGAACTGGGAAAAGGGAGTTTTGAGTAATAAAGCCTTGTGTAAGTTTCTGACTCTAAGTATGTGAATGTACTGCCTTAAAAAATAAACTAAAAAGAGCCTCTTTTCTCACCACAACTCAATAACCATGAAGGTATCCTTGCAAGTGTGTGTAGACCTCTCATGCCTCCTAGGTCCAGGGTCACTGGTCCAGGACTCTCCCAATATCCATGCCCAGAGGAAGCGCTTTCGCAGACTTGGTTCCTTCTGGCTGCCCTTGTCTCGCCTCTCTAGGGTGGGCTGGCCGCTCCGGCATGGAGTTAAGGATCCTCTGTGTTCTCTCTGCCATGACTCTCCCTGATCCCAAATCCTGTCCCCACCCCCAACGAGCCCGGTCCCCGCTCGACACTGGGTGTGCGGCCCTCGACCTCAGACCCGGCCCCTGCCCGCCGGCCGCCCCTCACCTCGGCCTCGGAGGCTCCACGCTCCCGCTCTTACAGCCCGCACCTCGGCGGTCTCTCGGAGGAGGGAGGAACCCGAGGTACCTGGTGGTCGTCGTAGCTGAGGAACTTTCGGGCCTGTTGACCATCTCACCATGGAAACTGCCGCAGCGCTCCCTGGGCGGGGCCTCCGAGGGGCGGGGCCTGAGCCAGTCCCGGGCTCCTTCCGGGTCGAGCGCTGCCTGCGCTTCCGGAAGTCCTGCTGCTCCCGCGTGCCTGGCTGGGCCTCGTCCCTACGCCACTGGCATCCCACCGTGCTACCAGCTGCCCTCTTGTTCGCTGGCCGGACTCTTCCCTCAGCCTTCTTTAGAAGACACGGCGCAGTCCGGCTTCCTCACGAAACCGAAGGAGGCTGGGACCGCGCCCGGTCGTCCGGGGGCGGGGCCGCGACGCCATTGTGACGCGCTCGGAGCAGGGCTGGGCCGAGGACCCCGGGCGCTGGAGGGCGAGCCCTAACCTAACCACTGCTCCTGAGGCCCTGGAGGCGGCTGACGGTTGAGGCCGCTGAGCGCCGCAACGTGAGCCCAAAGGACGCCCCGTTTCAAGACCCGCGCAAGAGGGAAAAATGAAGGTAGTTTTCTGCGGAGGATGTTAGGAGAACGAGAACTGCGGGCCGGAGAACGAGAACTGTGGGCCTGAGAACTGACCTAGCTTAAGGAGCGCAGGCAGCCTGTGCCGCCGGCTCTTGGGGAAATACGGAGAGGACGGGGTCCCGCTCCGCATCAGGTCCTCTCACGCACCGCGGCCTTCCAGGAGGCAGGACTGGCCACAGGCCTGATTCCCAGGGACAAAGTGCAAGGCAGAGGCTGTCAGCACCATAACCTTCGCTGCAGGAGAAACACGCGTCCAGTTCGTTATCGTCAGTTCCTCCTATATCAGGCCTGCTGTATTTGCTCTAAACAAAGCAGCCAGCTTCCCAGGCCTGGGTGCGGAGGTATTTGTTAAGCACATGCACACAGTTGGAATTAGCAGCCTCAGGGATCAAAAGTTGTCTTTTTTGTTTGTTTGAGACGAAGTTTCTTTTTTGTTGCCCAGGCTGGAGTGCAATGGCGCGATCTCGGCTCACTGCAACCTCCGCCTCCCGGGTTCAAGTGATTCTCCTGCCTCAGGCTCCCGAGTAGCTGGGATTACAGGCGTCCGCCACCACGCCCGGTTAAATTTTTGTATTTTTAGTAAAGATGGGGGTTTCACCATTTTGGCCAGGCTGGTCTCGAACTCTTGACCTCAGGTGATCCACCCGCCTCGGCCTCCCAAAGTGCTAGGATTACAGGCGTGAGCCACCGCGCCCTGCCCAAGAGTTACCATTTCTGTAGCAAAGCAGCTAAGCAATATCCTTTTGCCTGCCACCTAAATGTGGTTAGGTGCAGCATTTGGAAGAAAAAAAATAAAAAGCCCGGGCGTGGTGGCTTACGCCTGTAATCCTAACACATTGGGAGGCCGAGGCGGGTGGATCACCTGAGATCAGGAGTTTAAGATCAGCCTGGCCTACATGGTGAAACCCCATCTCTACTAAAAATACAAAATTAGCTGGGTGTGATGGCACATGCCTGTGATCCCAGCTACTCAGGAGGCTGAGGCAGGAGAAGAACTTGAACCCGGGAGGTGGAGGTTGCTGTAAGCCGAGATCTCGCCATTGCACTCCAGCCTGGGCAACAAGAGCGAGACACTGTCCCCAGAAAAAAAAAGCCCTGAGACCCACGGTAACTGGCCTGGATTACTTGAACATAAACAGGTTCACAGAAGATACCAGATGAGTTCTCTCTGTGACTGAGGGAAGGAGAAAATAATTCCAATCAGTAATCTTCTCTGCATAAATAAAAACGCACTGCGCAACCACACACACAGAAGAATAAACATCCCTTCTTCAGCTGGTGTGAGTAATTACTGCTTTTTCTCCAGTGACAGCTTTAGGTCCTCTCTATTCCTCCTGCTTTCTGGATTTAAATTTTTTTTTTTTTTTTTTTTTGAGAGTGAGTCTTGCTCTGTCGCCTAGGCTGGAGTGAAGTGGCACAATTTCGGCTCACTGCAACCTCCGCCTCCCAGGTTTAAGCAATTCTCCTGCCTCAGCCTCCCAAGTTGGGATTACAGGCACCTGCCACCTAGTAGAGATGGGGTTTCACCAGGTTGGCAAGGCTGATCTCAAACTCCTGACCTCAAGTGGTCCGCCTGCCTCGGTCTCCTAGAGTGCTGGGATTACAGGCCTGAGCCACCGCGCCCGACCTAAAATTGTTAAAATAATCTCTGAGTTGCCCCTGCGTTAGTACAACACACAGTCCAAAACACACCCCTGTCCTTGGACCCTCCCCAAAATTGCCAGCCACAAGTCCAAATGGTATAACAAGCCCTCTAACAAGTCTAAGACACCCCATGGTTTCAGAGGTGTGATGTCTCATTGCAGCAACTAATAGCCCCAAATAATAACTGGTTCACAGTGAGGAATATATCTATTCACTGAAATAGCAAATCATCATTCCACCATGTGTATGCCTCTGGTAGTCTGACCAGTAGGCATGGCCAATATAGATAAACTTATATTTATGTGTGAAGGATACATAACTCATATGCACAAATGAAACTTCAGAGCCTATACTCTAATGAGAAATCAAAATAAATCTTTCTTTCCTTTTTTTTTTCCTCTTTGAGACAGGGTCTTGCACCATCCCCTAGGCAGGAGTGCAGTGGCAGGATCTCAGCTCAGTGCAGCCTTGACCTCAGCTCAAGCAATCTTCCCACTTCAGCCTCTCAGCCTCCCAGTAACTGGGTCTACAGGGGTCACCACCACACCCAGCCGATTTTTTTTTTCTATCCTTTTTTGTTGTTGTTGAGACGGTGTCTTGCACTGTCTCCCAGGCTGGAGTGCAATGGCGCGATCTCAGCTCACTGCAACCTCTGCCTCCCAGGTTCACGCGATTCTCCTGCTTCAGCCTCCAGAGTAGCAGATTACAGGTGCACACCACCACACCCGGCTAACTTTTTGTGTTTTTAGTAGAAAGGGGGTTTCACTATGTTGGCCAGACTGGTCTTGAACTCCTGACCTCATGATCCGCCCTTGGCCTCCCGAAGTGCTCGGATTACAGGCATGAGCCACCGTGCCTGGCTTTTTTTTTTTTAAATGGAGTTATCATTGCAATGCCCAGGCTGAAGTACAGTGACACAATCTCAGCTCACTGCAACCTCCGATTCCCAAGTTCAAGCAATTCTCCTGCCTCAGCCTCCCAAGTAGCTGGAACTACAGGCTCATGCCACCACGCCTGGCTAATTTTTGGATTTTTAGTAGAGACGGGGTTTCACTGTATTGGCCAGGCTGGTCTTGAACTCCTGACTTCAAGTGATCTGCCTGTCTTGGCTTCCCAAAGTGCTGGGATTACAGGATTGAGCCACCGTCCCCAGCCACATCCAGCTGATTTTTAAATTTTTCTGGAGAGAGGGAGACTTGCTGTGTTACCTAGGCTGGTCTCTAACTCCTGGGCTCAAGTGATCCTTCTCCTGCCTCAGCCTCTCAAAGTGCTGGGATTACAGCTGTGAGCCATTGCATCTGGCCAAAACAAGCATTTCTTTTTTTTTTTTTTTTTTTTGGACACTGAGTCTTGCTCTGTCGTCCAGACTGGGGTGCAGGGGCGCGATCTCGACTCACTGCAACCTCTGCCTCCCAGGTTCAAGCAATTCTGCCTCAGCCTCCCGAGTAGCTGGGACTACAGGCGCACGCCACCACACCCGGCTCATTTTTGCATTTTTGGTAGAGACAAGGTTTCACCATGTTGCCCAGGTTGGTCTCAAACGCCTAAGCTTAAGTGATCCACCTGCTTTAGCCTCCCAAAGTGTTGGGATTACAGACGTGAACTGCTGCACCCAGCTAATTTTTTTATTTTCAGTAGAGACGGGGTTTTGCCATGTTCGCCAGGTTAGTCTCAAACTCCGACCTCAGGTGATCTGCCCAAAATGCTGGGAGGCCAAGGCAGGCAGATCACAAGGTCAGCAGATTGAGACCATCCTAACACGGTGAAACCCCGTCTCTACTAAAAATACAAAAAATTAGCCGGGCGTGGTGGCAGGCGACTGTAGTTCCAGCTACTCGGGAGGCTGAGGCAGGAGAATGGCTTGAACCCGGGAGGCGGAGCTTGCAGTGAGCTGAGATCACACCACTGCACTCCAGCCTGCGCGACAGAGTGAGACTCCGTCTTAAAAAAAAAAAAAAAAAAAGTGCTGAGAGGTCTCCCATTGCACTCCAGCCTTGGTGATAGAGCAAGACTCCCTCTCAAAGGCCAGCGCAGTGGCTCATACCTATAATCCCAGCACTTTGAGAGGCTGAGGTGGGCAGATGACTTGAGGTCAGGAGTTTGAGACCAACCTGGGCAACAGAGTGAAAGCCTGTCTTTACTCAAAATACAAAAATTAGCCAGGTGTGGTGGCACATGCCTTTAGTCCCTGCTACTTGGGAGGCAGAGGTAGAAGAATCGCTTGAACTCAGGAGGCAGAAGTTGCAGTGAGCTGAAATCACACCATGTAGCCTGGGCAACAAAGCAACACTGCCATCTCAAAAAAAAAAAAAAAGTTGTATTGAAACAAACTCTTATGCACAATATACGCTTCAGGAAGGAGCTTTATTTTTGCTTTTGACTGGGGCGGTGATGATAATTATTTCATCATGAATGACCCTGGTATGAGCAACAGAATTATGGTAATAGCCAGGTTTGCTGGTATGTGCCTGTGATACCAGCTACTTGACAGGCAGAAACAGGAGGATTCCTTGAGCTTAGGAGGTTGAGGCTGCAGTGAGCTGTGATCACACCACTGCACTCCAGCCTAGGTGACAGAGCAAGACCCTGTTTCAAAACATATACATTTCCTGCCAACCACTCCTCCCTACTGGACATTTCAGGGTTCCCTCCTGAATTGCCACACAACGCCTCAAATGGGCATGCAGCCATCAGTTACTGAAAGTGACAACCTGGTCTATGTGTGACCCTACTACTACATTGGCACGTAGATCCAAGTGAGCCCAGGATTTCCGACTGTTCCCATAGTAGAAATTACTCAAGCTGTAAGTGAGTAAGAACCACAAATGAGGCCAGGCACAGTGGCTCACGCCTGTAATCCCAGCACTTTGGGGGA